GTGAAAGGAAGAACTTCCACAACAGTTCTACGGTGAATTCCTAATTATTATTAATTATAATTATACAAAATTAAATTAATTTCTTAATTGTAGTTCATAATATATTAATATAAGTATTAAGTTGTAACCTAGGTTCAGTGGCGTCCGCAGGGGGGGGGGGGGCTAAAGGGCTGAAGCCCCCCCCCATTGCCCGTATTATTGTTACTTTTTCAAAAAAATATTAATCAAGTTAAACTGTCAACTATAGTAAGCAAGAAGTAAATTTCATAATATATGTCTTACCAGAATGAATTCATTTTTGAAAGAACATTGTATTTGCATACCAATTTTCATAAATTATCTGTAATTTTTAGGTAAAACTGTAAAAGTATGAACTACTTGTATGAAAGACCTTGTATTAAATTGTCTAGCCTTAGCTATATAATATATTTTATATTTTATAAGTTTTGAACTACAAATTAACTGTCATTTTGACAAAATTTGAACTTTAAATGCTTATAAGAAATAACCATGGTGCCTATGTAGTGTTTGAAGTATGAAATATTCCACAAAAACCTGACACTTTGAAATTATTTTACACAAATAAAAACACAATTTATTTATTTTTTTAACACAATGTTCAGTGTTCTAAATTCTAATGACAGAATTCAGTATTTATACAATAAACATGTATAATATTGTATACCTACTTGTATCATTTAAACATTAAAATATTTAAAAAATTTGAATACCATTTTATATGTATAATACCAAAGGTTAGGTATACATACAGGTAGGTACTATATAGTTATGAAGGTAATTTATGACAATTATATGTAAAATGTAAATATAAAACTTATTTAAAAATAAAACAAAATATATCAAAATACTGAAATATTTCATTTTTTTTAAATTTCATGAAATTTTCAAACACTATGCCTATGTATCGTTAATATTTTAGCTATAATAAAATAACTTACATATTACATTTTTAAGGTTTTTGACCGGATAAATATAATTATGTTATAATAATTAAATATAATTTTTTATTAACATTTATATAGAAAAAAAAAATTAATTATTCAAATACAATCCAAGTGAAGATGGTATAACCAAACATTTAAATACATTTTCATTTTTTTTTCTTCAATTATTTTTAAAAGCACTGAGAGTTTTCAATTTCGACCCCCTAAAAGTACCAACTAGATCCAATTTGCTTTCAAAAACATACACTGGGCATCGAAGCTTATGATCAGAGCATTTTTTCTACCAGAAAGTTGAAAAGTTACAAAAATTTTAAAATACCTCAAATAAACGTCTGCAATTATTAGACTGGACAAAATAAAAATGTAACTAATTTTCAAGCCCCCCCCCCCATTGAAAAATCCTGCGGACGCCACTGCCTAGGTTTACACAAAATAATTGTTTATAAGAATGTAAATAGTAAATATCTAGTAGGTATACTGGTATACAAGAAGTCACTATTAACATTCGTTGGTTTTTATCGATCAAATTTGAATTTAAGTAATACATTAAGATAGTTTGTTCACCGTTCACCAATTTAAAAAAAATAATACGTTTATTCAATTAATTGATTAATTATTTTAAAATCCTCTAAATCTTATTTGGAGTTAAGAAAAAGAAATAATAATTAATATTAGTCTAATATTGTCTTAAAAATTATCTTCACAGTTCACACCAAATATCTATTTTATTTTATTTGTTTTAATCCTACGGACTATTTTTGATAATCTAAGGTTAGATATTTATCATTATTATTATAGAGTAATTTGGACAACTAGCTTGATAGTGATATCGATAAAAAAAATATCTTTAATTCAGCTTAATGATTAAACATAAATTTAATGAGTCTGAGAAATTTTATTTCCTTATTGAAAATATAAATTTATTTCTTAAATTATATTTTAAAAGATTTTATTTTTTTTTTTTTAAATTATATCTGGACGTTACCAATCCTTTTGTTATCGGTTTCACATACGAAAGACATAGCAAATATTCGTTCACTAGTTACAATAGTGTGCTGTGAGTTTTTATATTTAGAGTGTTTTGACCTATTATTAAACTTTTAGTTAAGAACATTATCTATGCTTAAGCGTCTGATTTTATTCCATATTTTAATTTTCAAGCGGGATAAGAGCATTTTTAATTTGTGATATTTTATATCTTGCTTGGAAATTTAAATATCGAATAAAAGTCGACGCTTAAGCACAGCTAATGTTCTAAACTAAAAGTTTAATAATAGGTCCATAGTTAATATTAATAATTGACCATCACCATTGATATAAAAACTAACAGCACATTATTGAAACTAGTGAACGAAAATTTGCTATGTCGTAGGTTTGTAATACGGAGACAACAAACGCATGTGTAGTATACGTACTACTGTACTAGTATACTCTTAATAAAAAAAAATATAAACCTTCTAAAGTGGAGTTTAATTATATACTACCAAAAAAGCACGAAAAGTGAAATTTTGAAATGTAAAAAATAATTTTTTTTTATTATTTTATAAGGTTTTAATAAGTTTGGCAGTGTTTACTATTGTTTTTTTTTTTTATTAATATTATAATTTTTACTATTAAAAATAAAATAGCGAATGCATAAGTCTTTTATATGTGTGTGTGAGGGGGGGGGGTTAAAAAAATTTATAAGGGCGGAAATATGATAAATGGCCAGGAGCGCTAATAAACATTGCTACGGCTCTGCATATAGGGACGAAGTTTGTCTGTGTCGTAGTGTTTTTAATGTTTAAATGACATAAAAACATTTAAAGTTATCAGTTTAAGAACATTAGGGTTTTTGATTTAGTTATTAAAAATTGTTGGTTAGTGCTTTCAAAAAAAATAAAACAATGCGACACAGATAAAGTTCTTCCCTAAGCGTTGTAGAATTTTGGTAATTTACTATAAATACAGAGGGAGTAAGGTTGTCCCGCGCAAATCAGTTTTTGCCAAGATTTACATGTTTTGTAGAACGCAGTCAACACAGCGGGTGTGAACGCTCACGGAGTCATTTAATGTCTACAGACTATCGAGTGCTGAGTAGCCTGAGTATTTAGTTTTTTTATTTATAGTCACTACAGTATTCGTGTTATCTGACATTTCTGTATAACGATACTATATCCAGTCGTTGACTGTTTTAATATGATATCATGTATTAATTGATTATAAATAAGTATAGTATTTATAATCAAAATCAATGTTATTATATTCATTCACGGACTAAAACGATTAAGATAAAACCAGTGATTTATTGGTACGTATACGTGGGATACTCGGTATGCCCGTCAGCAGATTTTCGATTTTCGGCTTATACCCAAAGTAAAATATCATTTTAAGAGTATACCGCTCGTAAAATAACTCGAAAACCAAATAAAACTTATTTAAGGGGATTCGATACCGTGATTTTCTGTTTTTGTCTAACACACACGCGACATAGTATTTTAGACTTGTTTTTTGCCAAACATACCAATTGATCTAATGAAGCGATAAGAATTCTAAAAACAGCTTTGAATTTGTCGTCAAGTCTACTTGAAATCGGCTTTCCCACATTTTTGATTTTTTGATTTTAACTTCTCCGAAAATTGAAATATAACAATTTTGAAATACTCTTTTTTAATATGACATTTTTAGGAATTTGGGGGATAATATCAAAAATGTGGGAAAGTCAATTTCAAGTAGACTTGACGACAAATTCAAATCTGTTTTCAGAATTCTTATCGCTTGATTAGATAAATTGGTATGTTTGGCAAAAAACACTTCTAAAATACTATGTCACGCGTGTGTTGGTAAAAACAGAAAATCACGGTATCGAATCCCCTTAATAGTTCATAGAAAAAAATTGTTATGATGTTTTAAGAGGACGTTGTACCCGCATGTGTCTCTCCTCAGTCTTACAATTGTACAACATAGCAAAAACTGTTTTGCGTGGGAAAGAACCAACAACGCTACAGTCAGTGGTGGTACTAGTGGTGGGGGGGGGGGGGTATGGTGAGCCGGCGATTGATCCACGGGCCTAAAATTTTAGTGGGCATAATTTTTCTTTATGTCTTTATGTATTTAATGCTTGGTGATAAAAGCTGATAAAACATTTTTATTCCAAATAATTTGTGTATGATGTTATGGTGATGGCCACGTTCGAAGGAATGAAAAACAAAAAATAAAGTTAATTGTAAGATTATGAATAGATTCGTATTAGTATACTAAGTATACTGGTATACTAGCATTAAAAGTCTCGAGTATCACCTAAAGTATTAGTCCGTGAGACTAGCACCATATGTGCAAATAGGGAGAGGGGGGCGTTAGGGGCTAATGTCCATAGCCCCCCAAACATTTCCTACATTTTGTTTTAAGTTTATTCAATATTATCAAAGTAAGGCTTTAGCCCTCCAAATCCCAAACGCTATTTGTGCCTGTGAGTGTAGCACGTAAATCTATTTTAAGGATTGGTTTTACCGTCAATAATCTATAAGAAAATGCCAATTTTATGTCAAAAATTTCAAATAAATTGCCGTTGAAAAATATCTGTAAGCATTTGTAAGCTACCACCACGTGTATTTGACACTGAGAAGATATTATAGTGATACGGGACTTTTGGTACACACTACACGACGAAAGTTAAACATTATAGAATGTTTGTCGTGAACAATCATTGCATAACCGGATAACTCTACCACATTTAGACCCCACCAAATACACCGGCAGCCGTTTGGGTATAAAAACGATATGAACACCGAACGAAATGCCTGTCAATCAGCTATATTAATTATTAACGCACAAACGAATATTATAATCATCATTATAATATCGTTTATCGTACACCGTGCAGTAGTTTATATATACACACATACACACATAAATATTATATATTATACAATAATATATACTCGTCCTTCGAACAATTTTTAGTCGCCACTGCAAGCGATCCACCAAGAAGCAGATTTAGAAATAACAGATATCGTACCGTATATTATATACCTAAGTTAAGATAATAACAACAATATGTTTCTGTCGTACGCCACCGTGCCCATGATACTGTTGAATTTCTTCTTCTTTTACTCGCCCATCGAATCGGCGATGAACGGAAAGTTCTACGATACGTGTCAGAATTGTCTGGCTGACACTTGCCACAAACAATTGAACAGACCCTTGAATTTTCAGAAAAGGCGGATACTTTTGTTTCACGTGTGAACCAGAAAATGGCAACCAAAAGTTCTACTCCGAAGCCGAATGCAAGAGGGAGTGCAAGGACTTGAGCAAGACGTGCGTTTGTGACGACACTTGTTACGTGTTCATCGCAAATGAGGGCATCGAAATGGCTAATTTAGGGAAATGCAGTATACCAACCATTGATGAACTGGACGTAGTGTGCAAATAAGTTCCTTACGGCACCACCAGCACGCCCGCCGTGAGATCATAATTAAAATAATATTATGATACTGCAGCAGTCTTAAAATATACATATTTCCAATAATGATTTTTGTTCTTAAAAAATAATACCCCATTACATAATAATATTATATAGTTTTAATATACGCGTCCAATCACCACCGTGAAGAATTAAATATTGTTTTAACTGTTTTACTTCCCATTTAATTTTCATACAATATAGGTATAGCCTATTGGCCTCACCCGCCGGGCCGCAACGAACCGTCGAATTGCATAATTTTATTATTTTGCCGCAGCTGTAGTTCGTAAACTATTTTTAAGACTATGCTCCCGATTGGTAATATTATAAATTTATATAGGTAAGACTGTCAACCGTTCCCCGAAAACGTGTTCGCCTGTGTGGAAAAAAACAACGAAAATACAAAAATGCTCTAAACTATATTATTGTTATTCCATATTCTTTACGATTTAATCTATTGTATCATTTGTATTACCTATTTTATTATACATAAGATGATAAATGCTTGTAATATTATATTATGTAATCACTTAAATCATTCTATGTATTATTTCATCAATATTAAACTATTATTCTATCACGTAATATACTTTTATTAATTTATTTTTTAGAAGCTTTGAGCACCGTCGTATTTGAATGTTTTATGCCTGCTTATAATTTATGCCTTGTCATTATTTTACCAAGACTTAAAGAACTGTTCAACTATTATAATAAATATTTTGTACAAAATATGTAGGTATCATATACAAAAGTGGTACTTGTCGGCTGTCGTGATGTATAAATGTACAAAGATCACAGTCATAATTAATATTACTAAAACCAGAAACGATAACAGAAATCTGGCAAGCAGATTCGTCATATAATTAAATATGTGACCATACCCAACCATTATATCGCAGTTTAGAGCGATACGCGACTTTTGGCACATACTGTATGACGGAAGTTAAATATTGTAGTAAGTTAGTCGTGATCATTCGACCTCCTATTGCGTAATCCTTACACCCACATTTAGACCCCCACCTATTAAACGACACCACTGGCAGCCGTTTGCAGGGTATAAAAAAGGATATGCACACCGATCGAAATGCCAGTCATTCTCTGTTATATTAACGCACAAACGAATATTATAATATCGTTTACCTCGGTACACTCTGCACCTATAATAAATACTTATCACTGCAATGGTTTATATGCACACACATAAATATTATACTGGGTGATTCTTTTATCAAACAACACTCATCATTTCAAAAAGTGTAAATTTTTTTGAAAATATTTTTGTACATAGTTTCAAGTCGCTTATAAAACAACTAATTTTTTATCCTTATAATTTTTTAAGTTTTTTACTTTTTTGAGTGACAACATAGGGTTTTAATTTTATATTCTAAAGTAGAATATTTTTCTTAGTATTTTGATACATGGAAATTGAATTTGGGGCGAGTAGTTTATGAGTTATAATAGTATTTAAAGTTTAGACGAGCGGAGTGGAGTGGTCAGGGTTACCCCGCGAAATGTTTGTCCACTTCACCGCTCGTCTAAACTTTAAATACTTATAACTCATAAACTACTCGCCCCAAATTCAATTTCCATGTATCAAAATACTAAGAAAAATATTCTACTTTAGAATATAAAATTAAAACCCTATGTTGTCATTCAAAAAAGTAAAAAACTTAAAAAATTATAAGGATAAAAAATAATTAAAAATATAATTTTTTAATAAAAACGTTGTTTTAAAAGCAACTTGAAACTATGTAAAAAAATATCTTCAAAAAAATTTACACTTTTTGAAATAATGAGTGTTGTTTGATAAAAGAATCACCCAGTATATACACTCATTCACCATATTTCCAAATTCATGTGATGTTTAGATCTTTCTATTCAACGTTTAATACTGTAAATTATTATTTTTCGAGCCTGCAAAATTTAGTTTTCGAAAATTAATAGTTGATAGTGGTTTACCTTATAAACATAAGGTTGAAAAATATTATACATTTATATAAATTTAGAAACTAAAATTTAAGAAACAAATTCAATACTTTACGAAATAATGAGTGCTTAACGATAATGAATCAACTTGTATACTATGGTCTATGAATCACTAGCAATACACTAAGAATAAGTGTCATTCAATTTATGAGTTCAAATATTTTATTTTATCTACTTTTTTCTGTTAATAAATTTGGTTATGAAAACAGTTGATAAATTATAATATTACATTGGCTAACTTTAATTTCATTTTTTTTAAAATAAATTTGTTATCACTGATCAAAATAATTTGAAACTTGAGGAATTTAATGTTTCCAAATGTATGATGTTTGTTTTATCAAATTTACTATCGGCTTAATCGTTATTTTGACGTAATTAATTGGTCATCTCACCCAACACATCAACTTACCTGCGAGTACCTATAACGTACTTTTAGATATTAATTAAAATGTATTTAAGCAAAAATATATCAGACGATTTTGAAATTAAAAATTATTCAATGCATTTAGAGTACCGAAAGTTAATTATATCTGACCTACAGAACAGATCCACCAAAAACATTATATTTGTGTAGGTGTGCATGTTTTATGAATAACATGCTATTTAATAGTTGATGTCATAATAAATATTCGTGCAAAAATAAATAGTAAGGTAAAAAAATAGGTACAGGAAAATAGGTATGGTTAATTTATAAGAAATATACGTATGGTTTATAACAAGTCAATAAACTAACTTTTTCAATTTAAAAATAACCAGGTGAAAAATTAACTAAATATAATATAATTTATTGACCTGTTATTTTTTTATTTTTTTATTAATTAACCCGCGGCAACTTAGGCCATTGGGTGGTTTTTTTACTGTGGGGGAGGATACTGTAAGCTTAAACACGTGTGTTTTGGTTTGGCAGATTATTTAGCGGGCATCCGTATGTATCTGCCATGCCCGGGTAGTGGATGGCGGCATTTCTCTGTGACTTGCCCGAAGAAAATTGGCATCGAACCGGCACGGATGCCTTAATCCGCTCGACTACTCCGTCCCCCATTGACTTGTTAAGTTGTTGTTCATAAAACAATATAGAAAAGTATAGAATGGACAGTTTTTGTAAGAAGGGTTATTATGATATACCTAATATACTTTTTTGCTAAATAACATAAAAAAGTTTGTTTTATACTAATTACACAAAATATACATTATAGGAATTCATGAAATGGAATTAGTGATTTGACTATGTGGATGCTACATACATATTAATTATTAGGATTGTAGGTTAGACATTTTTAACGATTTAAATAGTATTTTAGTTCAGTATTTTTTCAGTTTTTCAACCCATATGGGCTATGACTATTTTGTCTACTGACAATATTAAGGTGGTTTCACACGAAGCGAATGTTCGCTTCGTGTGAAACCACATTTAACTGTTATAAAATATATATAAGCCTTTGAAATATAAATATATATGATCATAACCCAATTAGTTTTAATTTAAAAATAACCTAATTATGCCGAAAATATTTTACAATATGTTCTTGAGAATTGTACATTTTTGATTTGTATCTATATCAATAAAATTAAATAATATCATATTACTTATTAGTTATTAGTATTTATTAATTATTATTATTATAATATGCCCGTATGCCGCAGTATGGTATATCTTTATATATACGATACACCTATATGTTATAATATAATTGGCTATTGCTATATCTACATATATTTAATTGAGTTATTTTTCTTGAAGAATTCTGGTTAATGGAACAAGAAATTAATTTAACTATATTTGTAAGTTGTAACTCCCTATTCTAGTAAATGGCTATGTAATATCAATAATAATATTTATTTTTATTATACCTATTTATTATTGAATTATTTATAAATTAACCCAACTTGAAATTTATTGAAAGTAACTAGTTATTTATTAAGTTTATATCAATTAAAATAAGTTAAGTTAAAAATTAAGTAAATTTTAAAAAGTTAAGTTAAAAGTTAAAATTAACTTACTTTTTAACTTTTTATAGCGTTTATGCCCAGGCTTGCTAGCTACTTTTGGCCATTCCATTGGCATACACTGTACGGAAGAAATTAAATAATAAATGACGTTGTTGTGATCATTCATTTTTCAACAACCCATCCCGATACCCTACCAAATTTAGACATTAGACCCGGCCAATTACACGACTCCACGATCGCATGACCGGCAGACGTTTGGATATAAAAACGATATGCACACCGATCCAAATGTCAGTTAATCAGCTGTGTTACACTTTGTACCTACATTATAAACTACAATCGTGGCAGAAATATATACACACATATATACATAATCAAAAAGTTAAAGGTCATTTAAAAATGTTTAGATCTTTGCTATTTTTAAACGATATAATGAACGTTATACTGGGAGTAATGGAAAAAAACGTCCCGTTTAGCCCTCAGAAATATTGTCACTATTCAATTTTATAATAGGTACTTTTTCTCTAGAACCAAAATTGAGCGAGTTCTACTTAGGCTGCGTAAACGCGATTTGTCTATGCTGTACGACGTACGTGTATTTCGTATTCAAGGGTACGAATAAATGAGTCGAGCCACACTAGTACACTACCTAGTTCTATCTATACTACTTATACTATCTAGTACGGGTAAAAACCAAAGTGTGTTGGGTGTTGGTACATCTTGTTAAGAGGACGTGATACCCGCATGCGTTGTCTCCGTCTTACAAGTGCATAACATGGCAAATTTTACGCTCAGCAAAACACGTGTAGCTCTGTTAATTTAAAAATTAGAGTAAATTAACCTCTTAAAATATCTAAAGGTGGGATTATTATCTAGACAATCGCATAGGCTATTTATTATATTTTAATTTTTAAGCTAGTTATGAGTACTTTAAGATTAATAAACAATTTACAATTTTAAAATACTCATAGCTCGCTTAAAAATTAAAATATTATAAAAAGCCCATGAGGTTGTCTAGATAATAATCTTAACTT